AAGTAGAATCAACAAAACCAAAAGTTAGTTCTTTAAGCATTTCAGCAGAATTGACTGTTACATAGAATTATCAAGAATAAAAAAGAAAATGTCAAATGACTAAAATATCAAATAAAAGAAAGACATTAATGATGACTTAAAGTAACTAAACTACTTTTAAAAGGTTACTATAAACAATTATACAACAAATTATACAACCTATATGAAATGTACCAATTTGCAGAAAGACTAACTTCCAAAACTTACTCAAAAAGAAACAAAAAATCTGAATAGAATTGCAAGCAAAGAGACTTAATAATCAAAAAAATCAGCAACTTGGAAAACTAGAGTCCCAGAAAAAGGCTGACTTGCATCCACAAATGGTTTGCTCTAACTATTAAACTCATTGTTGAATTTTATGAAATCTTTTAAAAAGAATGAAGAGTGACACTTCTTAAGCTCCGCCAAAACATATCAAAAAACAAAACACTTACTAACTTTACAATTTTATAAAGCCAAAATTACCCTGATTTCAAGGATAAACAAAGACTTCATGAAACAAAATAAAACAGAAAATGAAACCAATATCCATTATAAATACAAACAGAATTTTTCAACAAAATTCAAGTACACTAAGTCCAATAGCTTATCAATAGAATTATACATCATCCCAAGTAAAATTTCTTCCAGGAATGCAAGCCTTGTTTCACATATGAAATTCTGTTAATAAAATACAACCTGACAGTAGAATAAAAAAAAAAATAAGATAATCACAAATGCAGAAAAGAACTGATAAAATCTAACACAATATTTTCATTATAAAAACTCACACAAATAGGAAGAGAAAAAATTCCCTAAACATGATAAAAAGCATGAATTAAAAAACCAGAGGTTGTATCATATTAAAAAAGGAAAAACTGAAAGATTTTCCCTAAGGTCAGGGAGAAGACAAATACGCTGAATTTTGCCACTACTATTCAACACTGCAGAAGTTCTAGCCAGGAAAACTAGGTACAAAAAAGAAATAAAAGCCATCCAAATTGAAAAGGAGGAGGTAAAACTTTTTCTATCTGAAGAGAACATAATCATGGTATGGAAACTACCGTAAATAATCTACCTAAAAATCTAACTGGGCTAACAAACAAGTTTAACAAAATTGCAAGATATAAAACAAGTATACAAATATTAGCTTTATTTTTATAAACTAACACTAAAATTTTTAAATATTAACGCAACAAAACTTTATAGTAGCATCAAAATATAATAAAATTCTCAGAAAGCAACAAATAAATAAAAGGCTTATACACAAAAACTACAAAATAGCTGAAAATTTTTGTTCTCCCAAATGTATTCACATAATCAATAATGTGACTATATTAGGAGGTGTAGCCTTTGACACTTAATTCGGTCACAGGGCAGAGCTCTCACAAATGAGCTTAAGGCCCTTGTAAAACAAATCCAAAACAGTTGCCTTGCCCCTTTTACCATGTGAGGGCACAGGTAAAAGGAACATATGGTTTGGCTGTGTCCCCACTCAAATATCAACTCAGAATTCCCATGTGTTGTGAGAGGGACAGAGGAAGGTAATCTAATCATGGGGGTCAGTCTTACCCATGCTATTCTCATGATAGTGAATTAGTTTCACAATATCTGATGGTTTTATCAGGGGTTTCTGCTTTTTCTTCTTCCTGATTTTTCTCTTGTTGCCATTTAAGAAGTGTCTTTTGCCTCTGGCTGTGATTCTGAGGCCTCCCAAGCCATGTGGAACTGTAAGTTTAATTAAACCTCTTTTTTTCCCCACAGTCCTTGGTATGTCTTTACCAGCAGCATGAGAATGGACTAGAAGAAGGCTGGGGGCAGTGGCTCGGGCCTGTAATCCTAGCACTTAGGGAGGACAAGGTGGGTGGATCACCTGAGGTCAGGAGTTGAAGACCAGCCTGGGCATCATGGTGAAACCTCATCTTTATTTAAAAAAAGAAAAGTAAAGAAAAGAAAATGGACTAGAATAGTAAATTGGTACCAGGAGAGGGATGTGGCTGAAAAAATACCCAAAAATGTTGAGGTGACTTTGGAACTAAAAACAAAAGAGGTTAGAACAATTTGGAGGGCTCAGAAAAAGACAAGAAAGTGTGGGAAAGTTTGGAACTTCCTAGAGACTTGTTGAATGGCTTTGCGCAAAATGCTAATGGCAATATGGACAATAAGGTCCAGGCTGAGGTGGTCTCATATGGAGATGAGGAACTTGTCAGGAACTGGAGTAAAGGTGATTCTTGTTATGTTTTAGCAAAAAGACTAGTGGCATTTTACCCCTGCTCTAGAGATCTGTGAAACTTTGACCTTGAGGAAGGCTATATAGCAGAAGAAATTTCTAAGCAGCAAATCATTCAAGAGTTGACTTCAGTGTAGTTAAGGGCATTCAGTTTTATAAAGAAAGTAGAGCAAAAAAAATGAAAAATTTGTAGGCTGACTAGATAGAAAAGGAAAACCCAGGCCGGGCGCTCAGGAGAGGAAGATAATACAGACAGTTTCTCACTAATCTCCCCAAAGTGGTACAACCCTGAGAGGGTTGAGAGCAGGGTGACTTTAATGGCTACCATGCACAAGATCAAACAAACAGAAGTGTGCTGCAAGAGTGGGGGTGATATGCAAAAGAAAAAAATATGATAGGGAGGCTTACCTGGCTGAGAACGAGAATAAGGCTTGCAGGAATAAGCATGCGTGCTTTTTGCTCAACCAGAGTTCTTGCACAGCTAAAAGTATTTCGAGTCTCTGTCCTGTGCTGGGAAAAGGTGTGAGGTCATCATCACACCGCTGAGGTGTGGGGTGGCCCTATGGACCAGTGAGTCTGTGGTCTTGTCTGGAAAATGGGGTTGGAATGCAACAGTGCTTCTTGGACTGCAGGCTTACCTAATAGGGATTGTAAATTGATTTTTAAATAAAATACACAGACTAAAGTAGAGTAGGACTCACCAGGGTGCAATAAATGCACATAAGGTGGGCACAGAACATGAGGTTTCATTCTATGTGGTGTGTCAGTCCATGATGGGAATGTGTCAAATCTATGTCTCACTGAGTCTTTTTAACCTCTTCAGCTCACTTCGAAGTGAGCACCCCACTTTGGGTAGTGCTCAGAAAAAAGGTGCTCACTTGGGTCAGAGCAGAGAAAGCTTCCCTAAATGAGCCATTCTTGGCTGTGACTACCACTGCACAGAGCCATGTTTTCTCTTCCTCTGCTTCCAGCTCCTCTGCCTTCCCATATCACTCCTTTTCAGCTTTCTGAATTCCCCTCTACCCAGTACCCTTTCTTGGCTGCAGCCCTTTTAGAGATCTTCACATGCCTCCAAGCTTCTGATTTTTTCATATCCCACTCTCCATTCAAATACTTTTACTACTCAAACTCTCTTCCAATTTTTTTCTAACTTAAAAAAAAATTTCAGTCGTTCTATTTTCTTCAGTTTGATTTTCACTCCAACTTCCTCCCAGTCTAGCCCCTTTAAATGCTGCCAGGTTTAAATATCCCCAATGGCTTAAATGTCCAATTTCTTTCCTCCTTTGACCCTACCGATGATCTGATTACTCCTTTTTGCTCCAACATTCCCCCGAACCTTCTCAAACACTGATATTTTCCCCCTTTTCCCCACAAATCTCCCTGTCTGGCTTCTGCCCCCAAACATCTTCTTACCCCTTCACACCACATCGCCCAGGTCCTTTAGATTGCTACGCACCCGATTTCTCTGTCCGCTCACAGCCGCTTGCTTTCCTTGCTCCCGCCATGGTAGTGCCCATCTGCTCCTCCCAGCTCACTCAGGTCTGCTGCTCGGGACGTCTTTGGGACGGCGAGGGAGATTCTTGCTGGATAGGGGCTCCTGGGGCAGCATGGCAATCCGGGGGACCTTTCTTCTCATTGTTGGCCTGGGCCCCAAGTGTGCCCAGGTGTGTGAGCGCCTGGGGTGTGTGAGCCCTGCCGTCAGGGCCCGGCTGGGGTCGCGCCAGGAGCTGTCCGTGGTCCTGAAACGATGCCGGCTGTGACTGGGCGAAAGAGCGCTGTCCGTAGTGCTGAAGAGGTTCCTGTGCCCCCAGCAGCGGCTGCAGCGGGGCCTCGGAGGCCGGCGGCAGGAAGACCACCAGGTAAGGAATTCTGGCGGAGGCTACGCTGGCAGCAGCTGCTGATGCTCCCACAAGCAGCAATTGTCCTCGCTCAGCTCCGTCCAGCTGCCGCTCCAGCCCGTAGATGCTGTGGCGCTGGGTGTGGACAAGTCTCTGCTGGTACTTTTTGGTTCTTTTTCTTTTGACAGAGTCCTGTTCTGTTGCCAGGCTGGAGTGCAGTGGCACGACCTCAGCTCACTGTAACCTCCACGTCCCAGGTTCAAGCGATTCTTCTGCCTCAGCCTCCCGAGTAGCTGAGACTACAGGTGCGTGCCACCACTACCAGCTAATTTTCGTATTTTTAGTAGAGACAGTTTCACCGTGTTGGCCAAGATGGTCTTGATAACCCTTGAGGTCGGGAGGGTTTTCCAGGAAGGGAGAGGATAGCATGAGCAAAAGCTTAGAGATAATAATCGTGGACTGATAATCATGGCCTTGTGCGCGTGCCTTGTCACGCCAATCCGTTAGGATTCCGAGCCCTTTGTGCTCGCCTTTCCCTCCAGTACCTAGTGCGCGTGCTGCTCCCTCCGCCTCCCCCAATCCCGCAGTTGCCAGTAGCTGCCCTGTGCCCGTACCTTGCCGCGCCAATCCGTTAAGTTCCCAGGTCCTTAGCAAGCGCAGGCGCGCCTCTCCCTACAGTACACCTTGCGGGCGCCGCCCCTTCCATTGCCATCAGGTGCCTTGTGCGCGAACCTTGCAGGCCAAACCGTTAACTTCTGGTGTCCTTTGTGCCCGCGCCTCTCCTTCCAGTACCTGTCAGGCGCCCCTTCTACCCCGCGCCCTCCCCCGCAGCCATTGCTCGCAGGTGCCTCGTGCGCATATTTTGACGTTCCCGCCCCCGCCACCGACTCCGCATTGTCAGCGGGAGCCTGGCGCGCATACCTTTGTAGCGAGAATCCCTTAAGGTCACCCTTCTGGCTAGGATATGGTACACGTGCCTGTCTTTGCACGTGCCCCACTCGCTCAGGCTTGAACGTTGCGTTTCCTGGCAACAGGAGAATGCTCCCTTCCCCTTTGGCCAGTTGGCATCAGACAAGAGGATGCTCAGAGTCCAGCTCTGGAGAGTTCAAGCAACTGAAAATACTCCAGTGCTCCCAGGAGCGGTTACCTGGGCACTCTGTCCCCTTTATCCCTGTCCTTTTCCCGTCCTGGGGCCAAGGACCCTCCAGTAGGACTCAGTTGCCTTGAGCCTGCTGCCCACATCCCTCACTTCACTTTTCTTGTGGGATCTCTCCGTTGTTCCTGCCCCTGGACGGAGTGACAAGCCATCCTACAAGTAAGTACCCAGACACTTGGAATCAGCCTGGTGTCAAAACAACTCCAAGGATTTCTGTAACCTACAAGCCCTGTGTTCCCTCCAGCTATCCTGCCTTCAATTTGAGGCAGAGGTACCGCAGCAAACCAGTGCCCTAAGGACTCTCAGAAAGGCCCTGGAGGAGGTAATCACCTTTTTGTGGCCCAGAACACCCAGCTCAACCCCACACTCCCATCCAGAGATCATGTCGAGGGCCCTCATGGAGGGTGGGGCAGGGATGCCTGAGCAGGACAAGGACCCCAGAGTCCAAGAGAAGTGCGATGATCAGAAAGGGGGCCCTGAGGGCACCAGGGATGCACGGTCTGCATTTAGAACCCTGCAGGACAGTGAAGGCCTCTCTCCCTTCGTACCCAGGCCTGGGCCCCTGCAGAGAGACCTCCATACCCAGAGGTCAGAAATCCCATATGACAAGACATCCCACCCCTCCGGGATGAGCTGCTGCCCCAAACGCAATGTCATCTGCAGCTCCTAAAGCTCCACAGGAGGCTTCCCGTGGCTAAAGAGGAGGAAGGGCCCAACCTCATCCCACTGCCGGCTGCCCTCCCTTCTTCAAAGACAGTGAGTGAGGTCAGCCCTCAGGCTGTCTCTCAGAGTCAGGCTGAGTGTGAAAAGGCAGCAGATTCAGCACCTGGGGAGAAACAGGCCGCCAGGAGTGGCTGCCCAACATTTCAGGCCTCTAGGCCTCGTAGACGAAAGTTCCCTCTGTTGCCACGCAGGCGAGGGGAGCCTCTGATGCTGTCATCTCCCTTACAGCTGGGGTTCCAGGTCACCGCTGAAGACCTGGACCTGGAGAAGAAGGCAGAAATCATGTGCCTTAACAGTGCACTGCAGGGTGAGGAAAAGTCCCTCTGGGAGTGCAGAGCCTCACTGCTTTCCCATGTTTTGTCCTCACCAGCAACAGGGATGTCTTCTCTGCCTGCTGTCCCTAAAGCACCCAGCACAGATGCAGAGCAGGAGAGACGCAAGTCCCAAGACGGCCTGGACACCGTGTCCCTCCAAGCATCTGCTGCAGGGTCCCCCCTCTAGACCTCATGTGTCTGGGAGGAAGCAAAAGTCATCAGGCCCCCTGTTCTGCTCCTCAGACACCCTTCCTGCCACCTCTGCACACTCCCGAGACTCAGCCCAGGCCACATCGTCTGCTCCAACGCATCCAGCCCAGGGCACGACAGCACACTCAGCCGCAGGGGCTTCCTTACCCACCACTTCCAACTTGAGCCCCCGCACCAAAAGGAAGTGGACCTGGGCTGCAGACACGGCTGGGAGCCTTCCTGACCCATCTCCTGCCTCTCCCACCGCCACCCTGGTCAGTGGTCCCACCTCAGTACTGAAACTTCCTGTTACGGCTGCAGCCACCACCCAGCCCAAACCTGTGGTCCTTCATGGACAGCAGCAGGGAACCCATGGCTTGAAGCAGCCTCATCCATCTTCCCATCCAGCTGTTTCATCTGTAGCCCAGGCCTCATCTTCTGCTCCAACACAGCCAGCCCAGGGCACCACAGCACACTCAGCAGCTGGGGTTTCCTTACCCACCACTTCCACCTGGAACCTGGCTGGGACCCTTTCTAACCCGTCTTCTGCCTCTCTCATCACCACCGTGGCCAGACTGAGGATCAGTGGTCCCACCTCAGTACTGAAACTTCCCGTGACTGCTGCAGCCACCACCCAGCCCAAACCTGTGGTCCTTCATGGACAGCAGCAGGGAACCCACGGCTTGAAGCGGCCTCATCCATCTTCCCGTCCAGCTGCTTCAGCTGCAGCCCAGGCCTCATCTTCTGCTCCAACACAGCCAGTCCAGGGCACCACAGCACACTCAGCCGCAGGGGTTTCCTTATCCACCACTTCCAATTCGAGCCAGGCTGGGACCCTTTCTAACCCATTTTCTTCCTCTCCCCGTGATGCACATGCTGCCTCCTCAGATTGTACACCTGCCAAAGTTAGGCGACTCTGCTAAACAAGGTGCAGAAGAGTTTTCTCTAGGTTTCCTTCTAATATTTTTCTAGTTTTGTACCTTGCATTCGTCTCTGATCTATCTGGAGGTGGTGTTTGCATGCAGTGAGAGAAAAATTCTTCTGCATGTGGCTATCCAGCCCTCCTAGTACCATTCACTGAAGAGGGTGTCCTTTCCCCAGTGTGTGTTTCTGTCAGCTGTGTTGAAGACCAATTGGCTGTGAATATGTGGCTGTCATTCTGGGCTCTGTCATGTGTCCCATTGATCTATGTGTCTATTTTCCTGCTAGCACCATGCTGTTTTAGTTACCATGCACTTGTCAAAAATTTTGTCGTTCTAATTTGTAGTGAAATGGGATGCCTCTAGTTTTTTCCATTTGCAGAGGAAGGCTTTGACTCTTTGAGCTCTTTCTTGGTTCCATATGAATTGTATGATTTTCCAATTCTGTGAGTGATGACACTGGTATATTGGCAGGGGTTGTATTGAATCTCTAGGCTGCTTTGGGCAATACGGTCATTTTAATGCTACGAGTTTCTTCCATCCATTAGCAAGGAATGATTGTCCATTTCTTTCTGTCTTATTAAAGTTTTTCATCAGTGTTTGTAGTTTTTCTTGTAGAAATCTTCAAACTCCTTGTCAAATTTATTCTGTGGCATATATTTTTTCATTTTGCTGCTACTGTAAATGGGATTGTCTTCTTGATTTCCTTTCCTACTAGACCATTATTGGTGTATAGAAATGCTGCTGATTTTGGTACATGGTTTCTGTATCCTGCAATAACTGTATTTATTTATTGATCAACTCTAGGGATTTTCTGGTGGAACATTTACATGTTTGTAAATCCAAGACCATATCTTCATCAGATAAGGATAATTTGATGTCCTCTTTTCCAATGTGGATGCCTTTTATTTTTTCCTCTTGCCTGATTGTGTGATGTTGAATAGCAGTGGTGAGAATGGGCATCCTTGTGTTGTTCCTGTTTGCAGAGGAAATGCTTTCAACATTTCCTCATTATGTAGTAGGTTAGGCAAGGCTTTGTCATAAACAGCTTTCATTATTTTCAGGTATGTTTGTTGTTTTTTTCTTTTTTAGATGAAGTCTTGCTCTTTTCATCCAGGCTGCAGTGCAATGGCGGGATCTCAGCTCACAGCAACCTCCGTCTCCCAGGTTCCAGCAATTTCCCTGCCTCAGAGTCCTGAGTAGCTGGGTTTACAGGTGCCCACCACCATGCCCGCCTAATTCTTGTACTTTTAGTAGAGATGTGGTTTCACCATGTTGGCAAGGCTGCTCTTGAATTCCTGACGTCAGGTGATCCACTCACCTCAGCCTCTCAAAGTTCTGAAATTACAGGTGTGAGCCATGCATCAGGCCATTTTCAGGTATGTTTCTTTTATGCCTAGCATGTCTGTTCCTTTTTCAGGACATGGCCTCACTCTGTCTTTCATATTTGAGTGCAGCGACAACATCAGAGCTACAGCTTTGAACTCCTGAGCTCCAGCCACCTCAGCCTCCCGAGTAGCTGGGACTCTGGGTGCATGTCACCAGAGCTGGGTAATTTTTATTTTTATTTTTTTGTAGAGATCTATGTTTCTCAGGTTGGTCTTGAACTGCTGATGTCAAGTGATCCTCCCAGCTCAGCTTCTCAAAAGCACTGAGTTTACAGCCTGAGGCAGTGCCCGGCCCAGAGTCACATGTTAGCATCACCTCCTCACTGCCGGGCTCCAATTTTGTTAGTGACTGAAAACCTTAAGGGAGATTTTCTGGTCAGGCCCTACCCAGTCTGTGAAGAGGGGGGAAATGGAACGATGGCATGTGGATGGTTCTTTTGGAGAACTGGCCAGACAAGTGCTAAATGCTGTTTCCTGGAATACAGGACCATGAGATGTCCAGTCCAGCTGCCTGGTCCAGGGCCCCTGGCACCATCTAGTTTGGGAGCTCACCCAGAAGGTACCTCGGTTGCCCAAAGCAGCTGATCTTCCTATGAATCTGGTCCCATTTGAAGAAGGTGACAGAAAGGAAGTTTCTGTCCTCCAGGAAACCATTCCTGTGCATGCCTGTCTTTGTCCTTGCCTTGGCTGACCTCTCTGTACCATGAGAACTTGGATTTGCAAGGCTCTGCCTGTCAGCTGAGCATAACAGAACAGCTCTCTTCTGTTCCAGTGAGGATGCCCAGGCTCCTACAACCCTGCCCAGATCTGACCATTCTCCCCTTCACCCACAGGTGACCTCCAACGCGATCCTCCTCACTGTCTTCTGGAAGCTGCTCTGAAAAAGGGCATTTTGGCCTCAAACAGGGAGCATGTCACTCCCTGTTTTCTGTTGATCTTTCCAGTGCTGTTTGGGACAGCCCATGCATTTGTCCATGTACTGCTTCTTTGGAAGGCAATCAGGGCTTTCTTTCAGGGGTGGGTATAAAAGTTCTTATGAGATTTGTGTATGAAGTCTGCCTTCACTACTTGGATAGGACTTGCATGCTTCCTCTGCATGACTGCAATCTTACTAAATTTTTTAAATTTTTAATTGTATTTATTTATTTATTTTGAGATGGAGTCTGGCTCTGTCACCCAGGCTGAAGTGCAATGGCGTGATCTTGGCTTACTGCAACCTCCGCCTCCTGGGTTCAAGTAATTCTCCTGTCTCAGCTTCCTGAGCAGCTGAGACTACAGGCACATGCAACAACACCGAGCTAGTATTTATATTTTTGGTAGAGATGGGGTTTCTTCATATTGGCCAGGCTGATCTCAAACTCCTGATTTTAGGTGAACTACCTACTGGAGCCTCCCAAAGTGATATAATTACAGGCTTACATTTATTTATTTCTTATTTATTTGAGCTGAAGTATTGAGCAGTTATTCTGGCTAGAGTGCAGTCGTCTGAGCTTGGCTCACTGCATCTCTGCCTCCTGGGTTCAAGCGATTCTCCTGCCTCAGTGTCAACAGTACCTGGGTATAAAGACAAATGCCACCTCATCCTGCTCATTTTTGTATTTTCTGCTCCCTGCCTCACCAGGTCCACAAGCAAAGAGGAGTGCAAGGCAAGGCAATTCTAGAAAAGGTAACTCCAGGTAATGCAAGGCAAGGCAAGGCAAGGCAAAAAAATTCCAGGCAAGGAACTTCCAGGCAAGGCAAGGAAGGCAACTCAAGGCAATTTCATGCAAGGAAACGCAAGTCAAGGCAAGAAAATTCCAGGCAAAGCAAGTCAAGGCAAGGCAAGGCAAGGTATGGCAAGGCAAGTCAATTCAAGGCAAGAAAATTCCAGTCAAGCAAGACAAGACAAAGTAATTACAGGCAGGGCAAGGCAAGGCAATTCCAGTAAAGACCATTCCAGGCAAGGCAATGCAATGCAAGGCAAGGCAATCCCAGGAAAGGCAAGGCAAGGCAAGGCAATTCCAGACAAGGCAGTTCCAGGAAAGGCAAGGAAAAACAATTTTAGGCAAGGCAATTCCAGGCAAGGCAATTTCAGGCAAGGCAAGGCAATTCCAGGCAAGGCAAGGCAATTCCAGGCCAGGGCAGGCAAGACAAGGCAGGGAAAGGCAATTCCAGGCAAGGCAATATTAGCTAAAACAAGACAAGGCAATTCCAGCAAGGCAATTCCAGTCAAGGCAAGGCAAGACAAGGCAATTCCAGGCAAGGCTATTCCAGAGAAGGCAAGTCAGGGCAATTCCAGGCAAAAAGAAGCAAGGTAATGCAATGCAATTCCAGGCAAGGCAATTCCAGGTAAGGCAAGGCAAGGCAATTCCAGGCATGTTAATTCCAGGCAAGGCAACAGAAGGCAAGGTAAGGCAATGCAATTCCAGGCTAAGCAATTGCAGGCAAGGCAAGGCAAGGCAGGGAAGGACAGGGCAGGGCAAGGCAAATTCCTGGCAAGGCAAATCAATGCAAGGCAATTCCATGCAAATAAATTTCAGGCAAAGCTAGGCAAGGCAATTGCAAGCAAGGGAAATCCAGGCATGGCCGGCAAGGCAAGGCAAGGCAATTCTAGGCACAGCAATTCAAGTCAAGGCAAGGCAGGGAAATTCCAGGCAAGGCAAGGCAAGGCAATTCCAGGCTAGGCAAAGCAAGGAAATGCAAGAAAATTCCCGGCAAGGCAAGAAAATTTCAGGCAAGGCAATTCCAGGCAAGGCAAAACAAGGCAGGGCAGGCCAATTTCAGGCAAGGTAATTCGAGGTAAGAAAAGGCAAGGCAAAGCAAGGTAATTCCAGGCAAGGCAATTCAAGGCAAGGAAAGGCAGGGAAATTCCAAGCAAGGCAATTTGAGGCAAGGTGAAGCAAGGCAAAAAAGGGCAATTCCAGGCAAGGCGATTGCAGGCAAGGCAGGACAAGGCAATTCCAGACAAGGCAATTCCAGGGAAGGCAAAGTAAGGCAAGGCAATGCAATTCTAGACCAGGCAATTGCAGGCAAGGCAAGGCAATGCAAGGCAAGGCAATTCCAGGCAATGCAAGGCAAGGCAATTCCAGGCCAGGCAATTGCCAGAAAGGTAATTCCAGGCCAGAAAGGTAATTGCAGGCCAGGAAAGGCAAGAACTGGCAGGAAAAGGCAATTCCATGCAAGGCAATTATCATTAAGGCAAGGCAAGGCAATTCCAGTCAAGGTAAGGCAAGAGAAGGCATTTATAGGCAAGGCTATTCCAGGGAAGGAAAGGCAGGGCAATTCCAGGCAAGGAGAAGCAAAGTAATGCAATGCAATTCCAGGCAAGGCAATTCCAGGTAAGGCAAGGCAAGGCAATTCCAGGTAAGGCAAGGCAAGGCAATTCCAGGTAAGGCAAGGCAAGGCAATTCCAGGCATTTCAATTCCAGGCACGGCAATGCAAGTCAAAGAAATTCCAGGCTAGGCAATTGCAACAAAGGCAATTTCAGGCTAGGCAAGGCAAGACAAGGTAGGGAAAGGCAGTATCAGGCAAGGCAATTCCAAGAAAGGCAAGGCAACACAGGGTAAGGAAATTCCAGGCAAGAGAAGGCAAATCTATTCCAGGCGAGGCAATTCTAGGCAATGCAAGGCAATTCAAGGCAAAAAAAAATTCCAGCAAGGAAATTCCAGGCAAGACAAGGAAAGGCAAGGAGAGGCAAGGTCATTCTAGGCAAAGCAGTTTCAGGCAAGGCAAGGCAAGGCAAGGCAATGCAATGAAATGCAATTCCAAGCAAGAAAATACCAGGTAAGACAAGGCAAGGCAATTCCAGACAAGGTAATTCCAGGAAAAGCAAGGAAAGGCAATTCCAGGCAAGGCAAGGTAAGGCAAGACAATGCAATTCTAGGCCAGGCAATTCCAGGCAAAACAAGGCAAGGCAAAGTAAGGTAATGCAATTTTAGGCAAGGCAATTCCAGGCAATGAAAGAATGGCAATTCCAGGCAAGGCAATTGCTGGAATGGCATTCCAGGCCAGGCAAGGCAAGAAAAGGCAGGGAAAGGCAATTCCTGCTAAAGCAGGTCAAGGCAATTCCAGGCAACCCAATTCCAGCCAAAGCAAAGCAAGGCAATGCCAGGCAAGGCAATTCTAGGCAAGGCAATTCAAGGCAAATTGCCTTGCCTTTCCTGGAATTTCCTTGTCTGGAATTTCCTTGCCTTGTCTTGCCTTGCCTTGCCTGGAATTAAATTGCCTTGCCTTGCCTGAAATCGCCTTGCCTGGAATGGCCCTTTTTTACCTGTTTTGTCTTGCCTGGAATTGCCTTTCCTTTCCTTGTCTGAAATTACCTTTCCTGAAATTACCTTGCCTTGTCTTGTCTGAAATTTTCTTGCTTGGAATTGAACTGCATTGCATTGCCTTGCCTTTCCTGAAATTGCCTTGTCTGGAATGACCTTGCCTCTCCTTGCCTTTTCTTGTCTTGCCTGGAATTTCCTTGCTGGAATTTGTTTGCCTTGCCTTGCCTTGCATTGCCTGGAATTGCCTTGCCTGGAATAGCCTTGCCTTCCCATGCCTGTAATTGCCTTGCCCTGTGTTGCCTTGCCTTGCCTGGAATTGCCTTGCCTGATATTGCCTAGCCTTGCCTTGACTGGAGTTGCCTTCCCTGGAATTGCCTTGCCTCACCTTACCTGAAATTGCCTTGCCTGGAATTCCCTTTCCCTGACTTGTCTTCCCTTGCATTGACTGGAATTCCATTGCCTGAAATTTCCTAGCCTAAAATTGCCTTGCTTTGCCTTGCCTGGAATTGCCTTGCCTGGAATTACGTTGCCTTGCCTTGCTTGACTGGAATTTTCTTGCCTGGAATTGCCTTGCCTTGCCTGGAATTGCTAGGCCTTGCCTTCCCTGGAATTGCCTTGCCTAGCCTCGCATGGAATTGCCTTGAGTTGCCTTGCCTGGAATTGCCTTTCTTTGCCTTCCCTTGCCTGGAATTGCCTTGTCTTGCCTTGCCTGGAATTGCCTTGCCTGGAATTGTATTCTCTTGCCTTGCCTTGAATTGTCCTCCCTGGAATTGCCTTGCCTTGCCTGAAATTGACTTGCCTGGATTGGTCTTGCCTTGCCTTTCCTTGCCTTGCCTGTAATTTCCTTGCCTGGAATGTTTTGCCTTGCCTTACCTTGCATTGTCTGGAATTGCCTTGGTTGGAATAGCCTTGCCTTGCCTGGAATTGCCTTGCCTTTCCTTAACTGGAATTGTCTTGCCTCAAATTTTCTTTTCTGGAATTGACTTTCCCAGAATTGCCTTGCTTGCCTTCATTTGCTATGCCTTTCCTGAAATTGCCTTGCCTTGCCTGGAATTGCCTTGGAATTGCCTTGCCTTGCCTGAAATTGCCTTGCCTTGCCTGGAATCATCTTTACTGGAATTACTCTGTCTTGCCTTGCCTGGAATTGCCTTGCCTGAAATTACGTTGTCTTGCCTTGCTTGATTGGAATACTCTTGCCTGGAATTGCCTTTACTTGCCTTGCCTTTTCTTGCCTTGCCTGGAATTGCCTTGAGTTGCCTTTCCTTGAATTGCCTTGCTTTGCCTTCCCTTGTCTGGAATTGTCTTGCCTGGAATTGCCCTTACTTGCCTTGCCTTTTCTTGCCTTGCGTGGAATTGCCTTGAGTTGCCTTTCCTTGAATTGCCTTGCTTTGCCTTCCCTTGTCTTATCTTGCCTTGCCTGGAGTTGCCTTGCCTGGAGTTGGGTTCCCTTGTCTTGCCTTGAATTAACCATCCCTGGAATTGCCTTGCCTTGCCTGAAATTGACTTGCCTGGATTGGCCTTGCCTTGCCTTGTCTTGCCTGGAATTTCCTTGCCTGGAATTTTTTGCCTTACCTTACCTTGCATTGCCTGGAATTGCCTTGCCCTCCATTGCTTTGCCTTGCCTGGAATTTCCTTGCCTGGAATTGCCTTGCCTTGCCTTGCCTGGAGTTACCTTCCCTGGAATTACCTTGCCTTGCCTTACCTGGAATTGCCTTGCCTCGAATTTCCTCTACCTTGCCTTGCCTTGCCTTGCCTTGCCTTGCCCTGCCTTCCCCTGCCCTGTCCTGCCCTGACCTACCCTGCCCTGTCCTGCCTTGCCCTGCCTTACCTTGCCTTGCCTTGCCTTACCCTGCCTTGCCCTGTCCTGCCCTGTCCTGCCCTGCCCTGCCTTGCATGGAGGAGAATGGCTCCAGTGTCAGACTCCCCAACATGCTGCATGCTCAGCAGGATATGCCCATGGACATCCAGGAAACGCTCACCTTCCCCACCTTGGGAGAGGTCGCCGGACAGAACTGTACTGGGTTGGTGTCAAACAGGACCCCACACACTTTCTTGAGTGCAATCCTGTTTCCCTCCTCTGGGCAGCTGCATCCTTTTCTCCTGCAGAAATTTATGGAGACTCAGCTCTGGGTTTCATCTCCCTTCTCCCCTCTCCTTGCCCCAACCTCCTTTTTCTGAAAAGTGAGGGAATTGTTTATGGGTTAATTTGTTGAAAATAAGTGGTGGCCTCCACGCTTCTGTTTTCTTTCAGCCTGATGGTAATGCAGGGTTACAAAGGATGCCTGGGTTCCCACACAGGTGCTGGCAGAAGGGGCAGCAGATGGTGCTGTACCTCTGCCTGCTTGAGGAAGGAGGCCATTCCCCTGCCCCTCATCCCTAGGCCAGGCTTCTCCCTGACCTTCTGAATATCCTGTAGTCCAGAGACCTCAGAACCCACTTCTGAGAGAGCAGAGCCAGGCACTTAGAGAAAGACAAAATGGTGCCATTCTAGGATCTTATTAGGTATCTGAATCTGTTAGGAAAAAAATTAGGAACTATGTATAAAACTTAAAATATTCAAGTATTAAAAGTTTATTTGAATCAAAGTTTTAAAACATGCCATCAGCAAGCTTCTACCACTAAGTGGGGACTTTTACAGAAGTTGAGCAAGTTCCCTGAGTTGAGAGAAAAATGAAGCCACCTGTGCTGGGGGCACTTGAGGCAGGGGGACTGTGGGCAGAGGGAAGCCAGAGAAGTCCCAGCTTGTGGAAGCCAAACAGGAGAGCATGATCCAGGAGAACAGTCAGGATTAGGGATGAGGTTTGTGCCACAATACCCAGCTAATTTTTGTATTTTTATTAGAGATGGGTTTTGCCATGTTGGCCAGGCTGGTCTTGAACTCCTGACCTCAGGTGATCCACCTGCCTCAGCCTCCCAAAATGCTGGGATTACAGGCTTGAGCATCTGGCTGCTTTTTGCTTTTCAAAGGTTATAAGCTACATGTACAATTAATTTTTTAATTCCTGTTACCTACTAGAATGTCAGCTCCAGGCAAGAAGAAATTGTGAATGTGTCATTTATCTTTTTTTATTTCTCTTGTTTGCTTTTACTTTTTCTTTGCCATTTTTTTTTAAATTTCAACAACTTTCCCAGTACAAGTGGGTTTTGGTTACAGGGATAAAGTATAGAGTGGTGAAGTCTGTGATTTTATTGTATCCTTCACTTGAGGAGTGTCCATTGTACCTCAATAAGTAGGTTTCATCCTCGCCCACCTCCAATCCTTCCTCCTCCTGAGTCTTCAATTCCCAATATACCTATCTGTCTGACTTTGTGTTTGTGTACCTTAGCTCAGCTCCCACTTATAAGTGGGAACATGTGGTATTTGGGATTCCATTCCTGAGTTGTTTCACTTAGTAGTAGTATATTTAGTGTACCTATAATATAGAATATATTGTAGTATTCCTATTGATATACAAATACACACAAATATATACATACACACACACACACACAAACACATACACATATGGTAGATCTACTTTTGATTCTTTAAATAATCTCCATAATATTTTTGAAAGAGGTTGCACTAATTTACATTCACACAAGTTGTATTAGTCTGTTCTCATACTACTATGAAGAAATACCTGAAACTGGGTAATTTATAATGGAAAGAGGTTTAATTGACTCACAGTTTCACACAACTTGGGAGGCCTCAGGAAATTTACAATCAGAGTGTATTGACGAGCAAATACATCCTTCTTCCTTCCTTCTTTACATGGCAGCAGAAGAGTGAATGCCCAGCAAAGGGGGAAGCGGCTTATGATACCATCATATCTCATGAGAACTAACTCTATCATGAGAACAGAAGGGGGAAACCTCGCTCGTGATTCAATTTTCTCCACCTGGTCCCTCCTGGAAAACTTGGGGATTATGGGAACTATAATTCAAGATGAGATTTGGGTGAGGACACAGCCAAATCATATCACAAGCAGTTATAAACATTCCCTTTTCTCCACAACCTCACAAGCATGTTATTTTTGAATATTTAATAGCAGCTATTCTGACTGATGTGAGATGGTATCTTACTGTAATTTTAATTTGCATTTCAATAATTAATGACATTGAGCATTTCACATACTTTTTGGCTATTTGTACATATTTTGAGAAATGTTTATTCATGTCATTTGTTCACTTTTTAGTGAAATTTATTTTCTTGCTGATCTGTGTGAGGTAGATTCTTCATATTGTTTTTTGTTGAATATGCAGTTTGCAAATCTTTTCTCGCATCCTGTAGGTTTTCTATTTACTCTGATGATTATTTCTTTTGCCGTGCAGAAGCTTTTCAATTTAATTGGGTCTAATTTATTTGGTTTTGTTGCATTTGCTTTGAGGATCTTTGTCACCCATTCTCTGCCTAGGTCAATATGGAATAGTTTTTTTTTTTAAGTTTTCTTATAGAATTTGTATAATTTCAGTTCTTAGATTTGAATATTTCATCCATCTTGACTTAAAATTTTGTATATGGTGAGAGACAGAATCCAGTTTTATTCTTCTACATGTGACTATCCATTTTTTCCAGCATCATTTATTAACTTTTCCCCAGTTTATATTTGTATGTTTATGTTTTGTATGTTTTCTCAAAGATCAGTCTGTTGTAATTATTTGGCTTTATTTATGGGTTTTCTATTATGTTGCATTGGTTTATGTATCTACTTTTCTATCAGTACAAGGGTGTTTTGGTACTATAGCCTCATAGTATAATTTGAAATTGAGTAATGTGATGCCCTAATATTTATTATTTTTGTTTAAAAGTACTTTGGTTATTTGGGATCCTTTTTGTTTCCAAAAGAGTTTTAGGGTTATTATTCTTGCTAATTCTATTAAGAATGATGTTGGTATTTTGATAGAAATTTCATTGAATCTAATTTGTTTTGGGCAGTATGGTCATTTTCATGATATTTGTTTTTTTACTTCATGAACCTGTTTCCATTTGTTTATATCATCTATGATTTCTTTCAGTAGTGTTTTGTAGTTCTCCATATAGAAATCTTTCACCTTCTTGGTTAAGTGTATTCCTAGGTTATTTTATGGAGCTTTCATAAAAAAGATTTATTTCATGATTTGATGCTCAGCTTAATCCTTATTGTTGTCATGCTACTGAATGTGTACATTGATTCTGTATCCTGAGACTTTACTGAATTAGATTATCAAATCTAGGAGTCTTTTGGGGAAGTGTTTAGGGTTGTCTACATATAAGATTATATCATCAGCAAACAGAGGCAGTTCGACTTCCTCTTTACCAATTTGGATGTCCTTTCTTTCTCTTGCCTGATTGTTGTGGATTGAACATCCAGTGATATGCTAAACAAAAGTGTCCAAAGTAGGCACCATTATCTTGTTTCAGTTGTTGGGGGAAAGCTTTCATTTTCCCTTTTAGTATGATGTTGGCTTTGGTTTTTTCATATACAGTTTTTATAATTTTGAGGTATTTTCCTTCTATGCTTAATTTCTTGAAGGATTTAAGAATGCTGAATTTTATTGGCTGCTTTTTCTGCATCTGTTGAGATAATCATAGGGTGCTTGTTTCTAATTTATTTATGTGATGAGTCATATTTATTGACTTGCATATCTTGAACCATTCCTGCATCCCTGAGATGAAACCTCTTGATCATGGTGAATAATTATTATTATTTTTTTATGTGCTGTTAAATTTGGTTTGCTAGTAGGTTGTTAAGAATATTTGTTGTCCATTGGGAATATTGGTTTGTAATTTTTTTTTTTGTTGTGTTCTTTCCTTCTTTGGCATTTGGGTAAGACTGGTCTTGTATAATGAGTTAGGTCATAGTGACAGTAGGATCTTAGGTCACAGTGTCAGTAGGATTTGTACCAATTCTATTTTAATGTCTGGTGGAATTGGCTGTTAATTCATCTGGTCCTGGGCTTTGTTGTTGTTGGGCAGATTACGTATGATTCATTCAGTTTCACTGTACATTTATCTTTTTATTCTTCCTAATTTTAAATTTTAATTGCCAAAAAACATCACAAAAACAGGCTCAAAAAATATAGAAAATGCTACTGTCCTAACCTCTTTTTACTTTAGTTTAGTGTTTCATTTAGAGTAATTAGTAAGAATCCATTCTAAAATGGATGGGAGAAGATAGACCAATAGCACAGGAAAGACATTTTTATCTGCAGTCTAATTATCAAATTTTCATCACTAGGAATTCTAACAAAATTGCTGTCTCTAAATAGACTCTTATTTGGCAAATCCAATATATTATCTTTATTTTCTACCTTCTTTGACTTGTGTAATATTGGCAACTACATATTTGCCAATTTTTTCCCGAATGCTGCTGTATCTTATTTTTTTTTCTAATTCCTCTGATTCTAGGCCCTTTTCTCAGTCAATAACCTACCCCCAAAAGGTTTTATCTCTACCCTATTTTCAACATATTATATTCTAACATAATTTATACTCATTCATTTTTCTTATCATTCTACCCGTTTTGAAATTCTCCAAGTTTGAATGTTTTAATTTTTGTTCATCTGCAGTAGCTAGCATATTTGTATACATCCTGTTTTTAGTAAATATATGCTAATTTAAGTTTAGTAAGTAAAACAAAGGCGTTAATGGCATATGATTTCATGAGAAGTGGTGAACTCCGTTGCCCAGCAGAAATATTTTTATGTACCTGTGATTTACTAATCTTGAGCTTCAATCTGTCTGCTATGTTTATTTTTATATTGCATGTTGCTAAGCAAACTCAATTGAAATATGAGTATATGCCTATAATTCAACCCTTTATGCATTCATTTTTATGTTACATTGTATATCTTATCTTTTTTATCTTTGTGTTGTACTTATAGACAATATAAAGACAGTCTATAAACACTGTGAAGTAAACTGAATGCCATCATCAATGATTTGAGAGTATTTCTAGTTTTTAAAATATATTTTATAGAAATGTGAGTTTAACATTTGAATGTTTTTAATGCTTCACATAATTTCTAAGTTTTTATATTTTTTAAAATAATGAATTTTATTATATAAAAATATAATGAATTATATTCTTTAAATAATGAACTAATTTTGACTAAATTTTTATTCTGTGATTTATCCTGTAATTTGTATGAAAAATTATATGCAATTTATGCAAACAATTATTTAATATTTTCTAATTATGCAAGTGATTGTCATAATCACTGTTTAGTTTATTTGATCTATTTATGAGATTGCTGAAAATGTGTTAGCAAATTTAAATACTTTAAGTTAAAAGCCAAATCATGAGTGAACTTTCATTCACAACTGCTACAAAGAGAATAAAACACCTAGGAATACAACTAACAAAGTACGTAAAGGACCTCTTCAAGGAGAACAGGAAAGCACTGCTAAACAAAATAAGAGAGGACACAAACAAATGGAGAAACATTCCATGTTCATAGTTAGGAATAATCTATATCGTGAAAATGGTCATACTGCCCACAGTAATTTATAGATTCAATGCTATCCAATCAAGCTACCAATGACCTTAACAGAACTGGAAAAAATCACCTTGAACTTCATATGGAACCAAAAGAGAGATGGCATAGCCAAGACAGTCTTAAGCAAAAAGAACAAAGCCAGAGGCATCATGCTACCTGATTTCAAACTATACTACAAAGCTACACTAATCACAACAGCATGGTACTTGTACCAAAACAGAGATATAGACCAATGGAATAGAACAGAGGCTGTGGAGGCAATGCCACACATGTACAACCATCTGATATTTGACAAACCTGACAACAACAAACAATGGGGAAAGGATTCCCTGTGGTTTGCTGTCTCCATCCCCCAGTCACCTACATCTGGCATTTGGATTGCTGCCTTTCTCCCCTTCACCTATATCTGGAATGTCTCCCCATGTTATTCCTCCCCAGCTCCCTACCCCTCACTGTCCCTCCCCTAGTTCCCCCCCACAGACCCCAGTGTGTGATGTTTCCCTCCCTGTGTCCATGTGTTCTCACCTGCTTATGAGTGAGAACATGTGGTGTTTGATTTTTTTGTTCTTGTGTTAGTTTGCTGAGAATGAAGGTTTCCAGATTCATCCATGTCCCTACAAAGGACAAAAACTCATTGATTTTTATGGCTGCACAGTATTCCATGGTGTATATGTGCCACATTTTCCCTGTCTAGTCTATCATCAATGGGCATCTGGGTTGATTTCAAATCTTTGCTATTGCAAACAGTGCTGCAATGAACATTTGGGTGCATGTGTCCTTGTAATAGAACGATTTATAATCCTTTGGATATATACCCAGTAATGAGATTGCTGGGTCAAATGGAATTTCCATTTCTAGGTCCTTGATGAAGGGCCACATTGTCTTTTACAATGGTTGAACTAATTTACAATCCCACCAACAGTGTAAAAGTGTTCCTATTTCTCCACATACTCTCCAGCATGTTGCCACCAGATTTTTTAATGATTGCCATTCTAACTGGTGTAAGATGGTATCTCAATGTGGTTTTGATTTGCATTTCTCTAATGACCAGTGATGATGAGCATTTTTTCATATGTCTGTTGGCCTCATATATATCTTCTTTTGAAAAGTGTTTGTTCATATCCTTTGCCCACTTTTGAATGGGCTTTTTTGTTTTCTCTTATAAATCTGTTTTAGTCCTTTGTAGATTCTGGATATTAGCCCTTTGTCAGACGGGTAGACTGCAAAATATTTTTCCCATTCTTTTGGTTGCCAATTCACTCTAATGATTGTTTCTTTTGCTGTGCAGAAGCTCTGGAGTTTAATTGGGTCCCATTTGTCTATTTTGGCTTTTGTTGCCAATGCTTTTGGTGTTTTAGTCATGAAGTCCTTGCCTATGCCTATGTCCTGAATGGTTTTACCAAAGTTTTATTTTAGGGTTTTTATGGTGTTAGGTCTTATGTTTAAGTCTTTAATTCATCTGGAGTTAATTTTAGTGTAAGGTGTTAGGAAGGGGTTCAGTTTCTGTTTTCTGCACATGGCTAGCCAGTTTTCCAAACATTATTTATTAGACAGTGAATAACATTATTACTTCCTTGTCCTCTGTTCTCAACCCTTTTCTGTTTATTCTTTCTTTTCTACATTCTAACACTGCATAATTTTCTTATTAGTTTCCCACTTCCCTGGCTGGCTTTCTCATGCTGTATTGGAGTCTATTCCCTCTATACTTCCCAGTTCCTGAGTATATTCTTTTTCTGGCATTTGTTTATATTCCTTCTTGTACATATACTATATATTTTCATTTTTGCTGTGGACATTCTTTAGGAAAACATGATAAAACTACTTTGTAACTTAAATGGGCATGATGTATAATAATAGTAGCTTTACTACTAATAAATAATAGAAAGCCTCTGTTTTTAGTGATGTTAGAAAATTTAATTTTGGCATGTAAACTTATGTATTTTTATTCAAAATAAAGTCTCTGTAGACAAAAATTTCAGCCTAATTCAAATTAATCTCACTGAATTTAGCCATTGAACTCTACTGTAGGACTGTTCCTAGGTGTCTTTATAGATATATATAAACTTCCACAGTTTCCTCCCTGTGTTGCACCTAGATATTTGAAAATGCTTGCAAATATTATCACATCAGAGGAAGATGAACCTGTCTGTGTACATTTTCTTGGCCTTCACCAGACTCCGCTGAGAGGTCTCCTTCATTTTGTTCCTTGGGTTTTGTGTTCTGTCTTGTTTTTGTTTCTTTTACTGATTCTGGTCATCCATAATTTTAAGGCAAAGCTATTTTAGTGATCGCTTTTGAGAAGATAAACAATGTGCTCTTTGTTATTTTCCATCTCAATCCTTCCTGACTGCAGATTATTTTAGGTCCATTTGAGTTTCTCACTGGCTATAGTTTTCAACACTGGAGTGTCTTCTATGTGACCTCTTGTCCCAAGATACAGTGATTCTTGACTACATGTTTTGCTCTTGTGAATAGTGCAGATATCTTCAAATATTTTTTCATTACATAGTAGTGTTTGAAGAGTTTTAGGGATATAGACAGGAACATAGGCCTCCTTTGCTGAGACATACTTTACCTTGGCTTGTCTACCTTGACATGTCTCTTTCTGCTGTTTCTCTTGTGTTGCTGCAGGATAAATGTAAGGCAATCTCCTTCCAGAGACCTAGGAGGAATTTAGGATTCAGGATACCCCATGCTTCTGGATTCTTTCTCAAATGATGTGGGCTTTCTATTGTCTCATTACTCTGACACTCTGACTGGAACTATGGCTCCTTCTTAGAAGCCCTGAGAGCCTACAAGTGCCAGACACTTTTCTTCAAATCCTCTCCAAACTTTTCTTCAGGTTAGAAAGAACTTTTAATTGCTTACTGCATGGCAGTAAAATAATTTTATGAAACATACTCCATCATGTCAGTCATCACAATTAACTCTTCTAGTAATTTAGTCTTTTACCTTTTGATCAATATGAATTTAAAACAAGCCATATCTTCCCCAAGTGTCTATCTATTACAAATAAAATTCTTCCACTATCAGACTGATTGCTGTGAATTAAAACACTCATCTAATGTTTTGTTTGATTTAGTTCTTGTACATATTCTGAGCCCCTTATCAGACATGATTAGTGCTACTGGCTCCAGGATTGAAAGGCAATGGAATTAAAAAAGAAATAGACAAGAAACACAAAGTCTGAGTTTAAAGTATTTAAGTGTTATTTTACATTGGCAATATGAAAAGCTTCAGTCTAATCTCTTAGAGTCATTAAGAGGGTCTAAAATTTGTTTTATAAGTAGCTTTCTCTCTCTCCCCCTTTTCTCTTATAATCCCTACTTCCCATGAGTTAACAGGGTATAATACAACTATACTACATACTATTTTATAATTCTTCACTTAAAAGTTTTTGCATGATTTCCTTGCATGTACGTTTATCTAGAATATTTTCATTTATTTTTCCAGGAATGTTAACCACCAAATTACCATTTCTGACAAGAGATCACAACCAAAGTTGTACTATAGTAGGGATGCTGCCTATGGTTTCTGGAGAGAATGTCTCTCTCCAGTGATTATTTCACTCAGACAACCACCAGCATCTTTTATGTTCTGTGTTAGTTCCCATGTGCTTCACTTTCCCTTTACCACAATAACCAAAGTTATCTAATTTTATTTAAGTATCTTCATACAGCCTCCCAAATTTTGTACCAAACCTAATCTCAGATTTCTCTCTAGCTTAAAGCTACCCAGTTACTTTGAAAGTCTTTATCTGGGATCATGTATTTTCATAATGTTGAAATCCATTCCCAAGAATTTTTTCCTTTCCTTTGTCTTACCTCTAAATGTATTATTAGACCACAATATCCCTTGCATTTATTCAGCTGAAACTTTTTCTTTCATCTCTTGCTACTTGTATATCTTCTTATTATTTTATTTTATATAACTCTCCACTATTATACCCAAGGGCACAAGTTAAGATATTCTCTTCTTTCCTCCATCTATATATCCAAAATCTTTTCCCATATTTTTATTAAAAGATAAAACATAAGCCAACAGAAGAAAAAAGATGAAAAAGCTCTATTGCATTGAGGCTATGTTGTCTCTACCAGCTTCTCACTGCATCCTGGTTGCTAGATCCTATCTTTTTGATTTCCTGTTGCTAGATCCTATCTTTTTGATTTCCATTGCCACTCTTGTCACAACTTTTTGTGATATCTACATCTATGTTGCTAATTTCTATTAAACTACATTTAGAATGTAGCTCTGTTGACTGAGATACAAGAAGACATATCAAATATCACAGTGTTTCTGAGATAGATAAATATAGGCAAATCAGTAAAAATATGCCCTAGGATTTTTTTGTACACTCCACCCCTTTAAAAGTACTTTATTTTTTAAATTTTTTGAGACAGAGTTTTGCTCTTGTTGCCCAGGCTGGAGTACAATGGGTTGAGCTGACAAGCCTGGCCACTAAAGGTATTTTAAAAGGGTCAGAGTACATAGTGAAAAGAGATTTTTGTGAAGATACAACTATGAAGAAATTTTCAGATTTTAGTACTACCTATTCTTTAAAAAAGAAACTTTTATCATGCTACTCAAATGCTTAAAACAGGATTCTTATATTTGGTGGCCTCACTAATTCTTGGGTAAACTAA